GTGTGGAGTGACCACGAGTCAAACAACACAGTCCCCTTATCTCCCTCCCCTCTCCCTCCCTCAGCACTGCCAGGGAAGTTTCTAGAGGATCAATATATAGTTTTTCTTACTTCTTTTTTATTGTTTCGTCTTTTAAAAGGTTAAATATTGCTTTTGGAAAAGTTGATTTTACTCGATTTATCCCGCGTGGGGGTTACAGCCAGCGGCACCCTAGCCCGGGGCATAAGGGTTAAGTTTGTTTGATTTATTTGTAATACTATAATGTCAGCAGCAAGATAAAGTTGGTTTAAGTGGGTATCATTGACATTTAAAGTTGTCTTCCACTCAGTGAATAACAAACAAACTACTGCTGTTGGAACTTCAGAAAAATGTTTTCCTTGCTATTTGTAGTTAGGATTGGCTAACTGTACAAATAGCACTCCCTCACATCTCGCTAATAAAGTTCATATAGATTTCTTCAGTAGCCACCTTTCTTGAGGCATTTAAAATGTAATAACTATATCAACAAAACCTAAAATTTGCAGTAATACTTATCCATTGCATCTTTACAATATTTCTTGGAAAACCTGTAATTTGTAAATGGTGTGTGATACTGTAATTGCCTTTAAGCCTTGCCTGTACTCCCTGTTGATTAAGATTCTTGTAAGATATTCATTGGTAAGTATATCTTTTTATATAATGTATCATGTAGAAGGCTAATAAGTCTAAAAATTATTCAAATTTTATCATTTCCTTTATTTTTTAATCAAAATTCAAACATTAGACCAAATTTCTGCATCTTTTCTTTCTTTGATACATATTGTGTGCAAGAACTTCTCTAAGCTCTCCTCCGCTATTGTGGATATTAATCAGTAATCCATCTTCTGGTGCTTGCTATTGTTTACATTCTTTTATTGTGTTTTGTAGAGCTCTGTATATACAGCAAACCCTCGCTTTACGCGGTTTCACTTTACGCGTTTCCACGTTTACGCGGTACCCTGCCGAACACGGAATGCTCACTTTCCAGCGGTGTGTGTACCCTTTTGCGCGGAGAGCGGCTGGCGGTCCTCTCGCGCCGCGCCATTTTTGGATCCAAACCTCCCGCCATCCGCCATGTTGTGTAAGCGGCACGAGTAGGTTGCGCAGTGTATGTCTTTGTTGCGTTATCGGTGACGTCATATGACATATTGGACTGTGATTGGGCAAAGCATCCTTACCTCCCTCCCCGCTAGCTGTGATTGGTTTAATGTATTATGACATGCCCCGCTGCAGTAGCGTTCAAGCCTCTTGACCTACCTGCGTCAGTTACACCCCTCCCGGCTACACCGTGTATATCGGTATCCATTGTTCCATAAGAATGGCTTCCACCGGACCACCACCACCACCACCACAAAGAAACCTTGCATTACCTGGACCCAGCCGCCCTAAGCCAAAGAAGACACGACGTTCCTTAAGCTACGAAATTAAATATAAGATCTTACAAGAGTTGGAGAAAGGAACAAGACAGGTTGATCTCGCGCGCCAGCATGGTGTTAACGAGTCTACGATCAGGACAATTAAGAAGGATGCAGCCAAGATAAAGGAGCACATGAACATCACAAAGTCTACAGGTGCTTCTATGATCAAGTATTTCCACAACCAGGTGCTTCTCAAGACGGAAAAATTACTTGTGAGCTACTTGGTTCGTCAGGCGCGACAGAACATGGCGGTGGACACGCGCTCAGTTAAGGAGTACGCACGTGAACTGTATGCTGCAGTGTTACGAAAGATGGGAATTGCAGAGCCCAAACCCATTAAAGCTTCCTCTGGGTGGTTACAGAGGTTTAAGAAGAGGAACAAGATCACCAATATCAACATTGGTGGTGAAGAAGCTAGTGCTGACCATGTTGCGGCTAGGGAATTTCCTCCGTTTTTACGTGAGATTATGGAGGAAGGACAGTACACCGACGACCAGGTATTTAACATGGACGAATCTGGTCTTTTTTGGAAAAAGCTACCTTCCGAGAACTTCGTTGTGAAGAATGCCAGCAAGTGTCGGGGCCGGAAGTTGCAGAAGGAGCGCATCACCGTCCTGTTTGCCACCAATGCCTCCAGTACCTGTAAGCTCAAGTTATCGGTGATCCACACAGCACGCAAGCCGCACGCCTACAAGAGCATGGACATGACCAAGCTAAATGTCCACTGACTGACCACACGTAAGGCGTGGATGTTCTCTACTCTGTCCCTATCCTGGTCTGATGACTATTACATTCCTGACGTTAAGAAATTCTGTGAGCAACACAATGTTCCATTCAAGATTTTGTTGCTGCTTGACAACGCACCAGGACACTCGCCCCTACTGTTAGATTGTCACCCCAATGTAAAAGTGGTCTTCCTTCCTCCCAACACTACGTCTATAATACAGCCCATGGACCAAGAATTGATCTGTAATGTAAAAGCTGCATTCTCTGCCAAGAAATTCAAGCTCCTGAACGACTACACCAACACCAAGGAAAAGTTGCATAACCTGAGTGACACCAACACCGATAGCAAGAGCGAAGACGACGAGGATCAACAGTTGGCAGTGCAAGAAGTACTTGAGACAATTTTGGAGAACATTCAACGTCAAGAAAGCTATGGACTTCTTGGTGGAGGCATGGGATCAGCTGTCTGTAGCAACTGTTCGTCACGCATGGAGACATGTGTTGCAAGGTATTCCGGGTGTTAGGCAGAGTAAATCTGTGACTGGTGAGGTTCAGACTGTTGCAGTAGCAGTGGACCTTGCCAGAGAAGCTGTGCAGTGTTACAGCTGCAGGCTTCTCCGAGACCACCAACGACGACATCCTGGAGGTGATAAGGGATCCTGATGTGACTACCGATGAGATGGTAGATGATGATGACGTCAGTGAAGAGGCAGGTGGTGCGTCATCCCAAGAAGAACGCCAGTTATCCCATAGTCATGTAAGGGGTGCCATCGAGTGTATTGAGAAAGTCAAGCTCCTCCTTTCCGACGACCCTGATGCTAACAGGTATGAAATCTTCACTACCCAGCTGTTGCAGACTATGGAGCCCTACATCAAGGTTTATCACGACAACATAAACACCAGCTGTCAGCAAGGCATAACCGAGTTCTTTGCCCACAACCCACCACAGCCAGCCCAAGCCAGTGATAGTGACAGAGGCAGAGACAGTGATGATGACTTTGAGGGATTTGTCAGGGAGGCACTAGTAAGTGTGGATGACAGCGATGAAGTCTCACCTGAGGGCCAGTAGCCTGCCCTCTGCCTCGGAACCAGCCTCCATTCCCCTACGCCGACCCATCTCTTCTACTAACGTAAGTGTTAATCCCCAACCTTGTATTTTTCTAAACTAACCTTCAGTTTATTATTCTCTTATTGATTGTTCCCTTCTATATTATGTGTGTGTGAATACCATCACAAAGTTAAGATGTTATTTTTAGTAAAACGTACGTATTGTGTCGGGAAAAAGTGGAGTTTGGGGGTCGACCCAGTCTCTATTTCAATTAATCCCATATGTTATGTTGTTCACTTTACGCGTTTCTCACTTTACGCGGGCCGCCGTGGGTTCAATTAACCGCGTAAAGTGAGGGTTCACTGTAATTACATTTTTGGGCCGATGGGATTTTTTATACAGTACAGGTATTTCCATGACATTGAGTGACAACTATGATGTTTTGCTTTTACATTTTAGTCTTCATTTTTAGAGTTGTTCTCCATTGGTTTTCCCACCATAATACAGGTAACCTAGTGTGATAACCTTCTTGAGACATTTCCTTACTCTTTGATCAAGCTAAAAGATTTAATTCTTCCTTGTCATAGTATTTTCACGTTTGATTTGTATTCAACAAACGCTTTGCACTCACACCAGATGATACTTAGATTACAGCATAGGTCAGAATTCAGAAGGGAAGAGAGATTCCTTAGGAGTTTGAATACAGCCAGATTCTACTCCACCGTTGCCCGAAAACCTGGGTACATTTGCCGGCGTCAACGCCCTGATTGTTCAGTGCGCAGTGTCGGCATTCTGGTGAACGATTCATCACTGGCCGATGCGATCATTTCCAGCATGAATCATGATCAGCATCACAACAGGAAGGAGAAGCTGCCAGACGTAAGAGGTTACTCCGGCACTCCACATCTACGGCAGCCACATATATCAGAAATACGTGACAATAATTCGCTAAAGTTTCACATCGAGCAAGCTGTTATTGGTCTTTTTAAACCAGTTCAAGCTTTTTTTCTACCTCATTAGTTTTACACGATCACTTCCTGTATTGAATAATTTCAGATCTCATACCTCATGAAATATTTATATATGTAATTCCATTAGTACCTTCTGTTGTCCTTGTCAGGAAGTGAATTCATGACAAAGTCTTATTTTGCAATGCATTAATATTTCAAACTTGTAATAATTCAAACAGTTACTTCAGATTTTCCTATAGTTATGTATGCAAATTAATGTAATATTTTTTTTTTATTAAAATGTAGGAAGAAATAGTAGCGGATTTTATAATACTCTCTTCATTCTGCCAACACATTTTTTGAATATTTCATCCTTGACGACTAGGACGAAATATTCTAGTTGTACGTAGCCATACTGTAGTTTATCCCGTCACACCTTAAAACAGCAATGAGGGTATATGTAGCCCCCCTCAGCTTTCATGCTTATCTGCTCGCTGTTTTGAACAGGGAAGGAGGATGGTGGTGTGTATCATACTGGTAGAGGTGACCCATGAAACAGCACACTTGCGTGAGGCGGGTTGATTTACACCATCAATTTTCAGCCTCTTGCACTGTGATTTCGTGATATGGTTGAAATTTCTAAGGTCTAAACATTATTACATAAAGTTCACAAAAGTAAAAATCATACCACATCATCTCATGCTCGTACAGTTGAGTGTACTCTGCGAATCTCATTTTCTATTTATCAGCTCATTTGGCCTTGTGCAATTCGTTGTAAATATATATTCCACACCAACGCAAAGCCTTTACTTTACATGAACTCTGAGAATTTCCTCCCAGATATCTCATCCGGCCAAGTCCATTCTCGGCTCAGAAGACGTTCGAGAGGCACAACTCCCGGCGGAAGTCAAACATATCTCTGTGTGATACCAGACGGCGCAGTACCACCTTCACTCGCCCTCCGCCACTCACCTCAGCTCCCAAGTCTAATTCTCTCAGCCTTCCAGACAGCCCACAGATTTCCCCTGGTGAGTATAATCCTCTGAACTGACTGCCCCAGCTGCTACTTTAACTGCACCTTACTCATATCGGTAATAGTGCCAACGAAGACCTATCTGCAAACTTTGAAACTCGTATCAGAATCTGCACACTTTTTCTTCTCGTTTTTTCATCTAACAGAGACTAATTCTTCCTCCAATTCCCTATTCCTTCAGCTCCCGTCCTGGGTTCCCTTGTAGAGTCCCTTCACGTCCCCATGTCCCCTCCAACAGGATATGTTCGTGGCCGTTCCAATTCCCTTCGCGTGGACGATATCCTCATGCGGCGATCCAACTCATTACGCTTTGGTTTGGAAGGAACCCGCAAGATCAACAGCTTTGAGGAGCTGGGCATCAGCCCTCTCACCCCCCTCACCAGGGACGAGCGCACGGGCTCCATCAAAATCCCTACCAATGGCTCCATTGGCTTAGAGGTAAGCAACACTTGTTTTAATATCTCTCTCTCTCTCTCCTATTTAAATTCATAATTTATTGTTTTTAATAAAAAGTATAATGTAAAAGCGTCTTTTGTGTCAGGAATACATTTAATGAAACCCCTTCTGTGTAATGGGGAATATTTTGTACTTTTCAAACAAATTGTCTTCGTTATTTTTTTTGGCAATACACTTCACTGGAAGTGATGTTATAACCAACCTCGTTAACATTAGAGAAGTGACTGATCCAATGTTTTTCTTGACGTTTGTAGTTTATTTGTGTGCCGCAGGTAACGCCACCTGAAGAGTGTGGATCTGAGGCCTCCGTCCCTTCCATCCAGCTACAAGGTACCATTGTCTGACCACCGCCATCGCCTCGGCCTGCGCGCGTTTGGTTCCACATGAGTGGGGCCCGTGGGCTGACTCGCGCTCGCTCTCCACGTCTCTGACGGCCAGCGGCCTCCTTCACTTCCCGGCCAGCCCTGGGGCCCGTGCCCTGGCCACATTCACAGTGAGAGGAGGTCGATAAGACTGATGTGATGTTGAGCAGGCTGGCAAACCAGCTGAGTCTCGGTTGGGTTTCTAGTGATGCCATAAGTGCTTGTTTAGAGTGCAATTCATCCCAGTTATGTCCAATACTGGACGTTCTGCGAACCTTGGGTACAAACGTAGATGAATTCTAATTTTGGAATGAAACTTTATCGAACTTTTCACCCGTGAAAGAGTGATTTAAGGTTAAAGTGATATATTGGTTTTTTTTTACATCTGAGAAACACAAACTGACTCAATGGAATCTGAGCATTACAGTATGAACCGAAGAGACAGTCTTCACTTGTGCTTTACCGCCACCGCGGCTTACCTTCCATGAAGGGTTTGTTGTTTTATAAGCGAGTGCTGCATCGCGGAAAGAGAGCCCCTCTACCACCCAGGAGTGGGCAACACTGTGCCTATTAAGGAAGTACAGTATGGAAGTGTCTTGCACACATTACAATGCTAAAAGACCAGAGTTGGCTATAGTGATCTTGGATATATACTGCAGGTGTTACCAGGCTCTACCAGCTTCCTGCAAGTGTCATCTGTTCCATTCAGGTCCAAGTAATGAAAGGTGGTTCTATCATTAAGATCCTTCAAGTTTAAACAGGTATTTGTAACTTGTTAGTGTCAACTGATGAAGAAGTGTCAAATGATAGGCAGTTCACCAAGTCACTGTAAATAACAATGATGTCAGCTACTTTTCTTAAGTCCTGGCAAGTCTCTCCAAATATCAGCAAATTCCTGCGAGAGAGAGAGAGAGAGAGAGAGAGAGAGAGAGAGAGAGAGAGAGAGAGAGAGAGAGAGAGAGAGAGAGAGAGATTCGGTGGTGATGGTAAGGGGCAGGAGAGGGTGAGGGAGGCTGTGTTGGGCTGAAGGGTCTCCAGCCAGCCACTCCCACTGCAGCATTTTATTATATATCCTCACTAGCGGTGTTTTCATTGTTTTGAAACATTTGCATTTTAATTATTTGTTAATAGTTGTGATTTTTCCAGTTTATTACATTATATATATATATATATATATATATATATATATATATATATATATATATATATATATATATATATATATATATATATATATATATATATATATAATCATTGTCATTATGCGCATACATATTTGTACAGACATATAACATTGTGATAAATCACTCATAATATTACATAATATACAGTACATGTACATGAGTCATCATCACATGATGTACGTACGCGAGTCATCATCACATGATGTACGTACGCGAGTCATCATCACATGATGTACGCGAGTCATCATCACATGATGTAGATAAGTCATGTACATGGAATGAAAAGCTAGTCATAATCCAGCATAATCTTTATTTTATTATTACATATACAGTATATAGTTACTAATTACCGCATAGCACATGTGTAGTATTAAGGACAGATGCTGGAGGTGGTGTCGGGCGCCGTCTTCATTGTCACAACAAATACACACCTAAAACAGTCCTCATCCTGGCCTTCATTACCCTTCTCGTGGAGGTGGTGTATGGGCGTTGTGTTGCTTCTACAATATTTGTTTTAACATATATGATACATTTATAATTGTTTTCAACTGTCAGTATGTGTGCCAAGATGATAAATGTTTTTTGGGAAGTTATAAATCTTATAGGTTACTGTAAACTGGGGAATTTCTTGGGCAATCACACCTTCTGTTTGGCTTTAGGAAATTATTTTGTTTCACTATAGTCAAGTTCGCTATATATTTTCGTCGGAAATTTTTGGAGACTTAGCAAGACTATACATTTTTGTAAACGTTATGAAATAAAGGATTGAAAACCAATGTTGCCATTTGCACAGACACATATACCTGTATAGCCACCATATTGGAGTTTCAAAATGGCCACCCTTTACATGTTTTCCAATATCTCTGTTACTAATCGATCCATAAACTTCATTTCTTAGTGTAATCCTATGTTTTCAGGATCAATTAATCAACATTTAACATCGAGAAACTCATAATCCTAACCAAAGCTTCATTTTCAGGTAATACTCTAGCTGTGAAAACTTCTCACAGTTATAAAACAGCTATATGAAACTTACGTTGCTGAGCGTATAAATGGAGACGTCAGTCTATGGGCACCAGCCAAAAAGCAGAACAACATGATGTATATGTCTGGCAACAGAAAACAATCAGTGAAGATCTGCAACCAGACGGTTGATCTAAAAGATACCAAAGATCTGTACGGTCACTTAATGGTGCTTGCCAGGTCAAGCAGGGATATCGACTTGAGAAATGCGATTGGAGGCTACGAATTCACACTGACTCCGAGGGCACTGTTTGCACCTGATGGGTCAATTCTACCATGCACTAACAAGTCTAAGCTGATACACTGCCTTGAGAAGTTAGTTGAACTTCCACTAGACACAGAAGATGAGAAGAATGAGAGTATAGAATCTGAAACATCATTTGCAACATCCTTCACACGCAAAAGTATCACTGTAGTTGATGGAATGGTGATTGTCCAGAAGATGACGAAGAAACTTGGGACAATCAAACAGTGAAAGATCTCGGTCAGTTTTTCAATGACAGGATTATGAGTTTGACAGCAAGCTTTGATGAAGTTATCGTTGTCTTCGACACATACAAGGCAGACTCACTGAAGCAGAAAACCAGAGAGAAACGACAAGGAAAAGATCCCATTCATTACCGGATTACAGATAATATGAACATAACATGCAATCCAATGAGGCGCTTCTTCTCGCACGAAAATACAAAAGTTGACCTGACAAAGTACCTTGCTGAAGCATCTCAAAATTATAACAGAGATTCACATAAGTTCGTCATCACACCGACATCAAGTCACACCAGAAGTAACAACCAGTACATGCAGTTTGAAGATAATTCGCACGAAGAGGGCGACATACTGATATGTTTGGCAGAAGTTACATCACAATGGTACCCTAATGCACAGCTAGTGTTTTTCACTCCAGACAGATGTCCTAGTTCTAGTAGTTGCACACTATGACGTGTTGTGCGAAAAGACAACAATTTCAATGGCAACAAGACAAGTTAGAATAGAACCAATTTGAAGAGCGTTAGGCAAAGAAAAGGCAAAAGTTTTGCTGGTCTTTCACTCTTTCACTGGAACTGGCAACGTCAGGAGATTCTCAGGAATAAGCAAAGCAAGATGGTTTCAGCAGAACATGAAAGCTGAAGGTGGCATTATTGAAGCAATGATGAAATTACCCGAAGAAGGTAACCTAACGCTGGAGGTGAAGGACATTGGCCAAATTTGTCTGCTTGGCATGCTGCCCAAGAGGTATTTTTATCAAGTAATACTCACCTGAGGTGGCATCTGTTTTTCAAACACCTAGCAGAAAGCAACAACTTTCCTCCTACGCTTGGTACTCTCGAAGAACACATCAAACTTGTGCAGGTACAAAGCCAAGTATGGTGCCAAGCCAGTGTCTTTCAGCAAACATCATTTGATTCCCTGTAGTACGGGCACGGCTACTATCACGACGACAACGGTCAGATACTACCTGTCACTACAAAGCTTCCTGTGCCACAGGCGATCATCGACCTGGTCAGATGTCAAAGCGAAGTCAATTGTTCATCGCAGGGATGTTCATGCAGGAGAAATAACTTGCCTTGCACAAATCTCTGTGTGGTCCTGAATGTGAAAATTATGCAGACTGTATATCTGGGCATGTGGAATATGACAGAAAATGAACATGTATTATTATTTTGCTATAAGTGAGTTCTGCTATAATGCGTGTTTTGATAACGCGAATTTGCTCTAACGCTATTTATGAATTAGGAACGATATTTGTATAACGCGAACGCTTGTTTGCTATAACGCGATTTTTGCTTACTATTTCTCCAATTTTGTGGTATTAACTGTGAATATGGTAAAGAAGAATATCTCCAAGAAGCGTTCTGGTGATAGAATTCCTGGTGATGATCGTAAAAGAAAGGATATAACACTTGAAGAGAAGCTCGATGTTATCAACCTCAAAATCACCCTTCTCCCCCATCAAGTTACATTCATATTTTTTCAAGGTAAAGTGTTACGTTTACTGTATGATTTCATTATTAGATATGAATGTAACCTTTATTTAGACTGTGCTATCCTTTGTGTTAGGCTAACTACTAAATTTTTTCGATTTCGAGTAATCTGCCCCTAACCCTATTTTCTCCATAAGCCCTGTTATTTCTATTACGCGATTTTCTATAACACGATATTTTACAAGAACACAATTATCGCGTTATAGCAGAACTACCTGTACTTTGACATTTTATGCATATCATACCAGGTGCAATTTTTGCTTTTGTTTTTAAATAACTTTATTTGAATAAATATTTTCGAAACAAACATTTCATCAATTGTTGATTTTATTTGTCATCGGTGTAAAAGTCCTGGTGTGAAATTTATCATCAAAATACAATCATTTTTAATAGTTATTTATTTTTTGTATGCATTTCTGATCACTATTATTGTAGTTTCATTGGATTTCTCGACTTTGAAAAACATATGATAAGACTATTAAATGAAGTGTATGAGTCTATTAGAAGCAGAGATAATGGAAAATATGGCAACATTGCTTTCAGATTGTTTATGTTATAAGGTTTCCAAAAATGTTTAAGGTTTGCTTATCCAAAAATTTCCGATGAACAGTTAAATTGTTACATAATGAACCTGAACATTGGTTTAGTAACTCCGTACTTAAAACAAGAAATCAATGTTTATTACTCGGTTTCTGGAATCTATTTTAACTGATTTCTTGTGCTTTTCTGTTAGTCTGGAGCTGTTAAACAAAGTAATGTAAAAATTGATTGAAATGGAGGTTTAAAGTGTGCCGTGTTCTTATGTTCATTACAGTGCAAATTAAAGCTGCTGTGTGTATACACTGAAGTATTTATTGATTTTGCACAATTACAGCTTGAACTACACCTTTTCACATATCCGTTGAGACATTGTTACATAACTATTTGACAAATTTCATAACCGAATGACACAACACATATCGAATGACAATCTAAAATAACTGTTCGTTCATGCTAACGGAAATAATTGACATAAGTTATGAAGTTGACAGACGTGAACAATAAACCGACAGTCTACATATAGTTTGAGAATGTAACAATTGGAGAATGACAGACCACCAACAGTTATTTTAGATTGTCATTCGATATGTGTTCTGTCATTCGGTTATGAAATTTGTCAAATAGTTATTTAACAATGAATCAACGGGTATGTGAAAAGGTGTACTGCATTTTTTTTCTTTTTTTTTCTTTTTTTGCAAAAGTGTTGTAAAAATGTCGGCAATTTTTTGCAAATAATGTCCAAATATGTTGCAAAAAATGTGTATATAGATGAAAACGTACGTGTGTGTATCAAAACACAAATTGTGGTAAGATACTGTTATCTTTCTACATTTCCTAGGTGTGCTACGTGTCTTTGAATTGTTGCTATTATTTTTAAATTAGGTAATTCACACAGGCAGCAATGCTGAGTACACCATACACTGGTGAGAGTTACCTAATGTAGCATAGCTTTCAGTATGAGATGGCCTGAAATGTCTTTTTGCATCACGTAACAACTTTGGAAGGTCAAATATTGTTTATGATTTTTTTTTCATTTTCCTGCTTTTCCTTTGCACTGGGGGTACAGATATCTACTTCGGCTTCACATCAAAAGGGTTAACTTTCTACATTTAGTTCTGCTATTGCACGACGATTGTATTAAGGAACACGTTTTATACAACTTGAATGTGAATTGGGTAAAACGCAATTGATGTCACGTAAGTAGGAAGCAGTTGTGCAACTGCCTCGGCATAGCGTGACACAAGGGGGGATGCTGGTGGATGCTTCTAGATGCTGCCTATGACTGCAATTTGTTAATGAACAGTACATTTGGTGAAGAATGAAAATTATTTCTTATGAATAAATTCACAGTCAACATGTACAGGTATGATCATAAGTGATGATTCCACTCCTGTATGATTGAATTATTAAATTCAAATCCCATGTGACAAGGGTGAAAAAAGGTTCAGAAAGACAACAAATGGATGGAAATGAGTAGTAGGAGTAGAAATAGAAATAGATGCCCCGGCTTAACACAGCATGTCGGATTGTTATAGGATTGTAATAAGGGACCTCCAAGCACGACCGATGTGACAAGACCCCCACAGATCAAACTCAGAACCCCAGTAGGTCCAGGGAAGAATTAGGTTAACAGATGTAGAGTTGTTTGGTGCCAAAGATGGCACAGAGCTATTACTGATTCAGTGTAAACAACTTTGCCAATTAGGCTAATTAGACTAATTGTTATTTATCGTAATGTAAAAATGATTTACTGTATTGTATGCTAAAAAAATCTTGGTATTGGAGCACTTGTTTTGTAATGAATCTCGAGGGATCTGGTAAAGACTAGAAAACCAGGACCCATATACTTAAGACGTTTTAGATGCACGGAATAGCTAACGTGTTAGCTATACTGCCTGTGCAGACACTTCTGTCGAGTTGTGTGCATGACACCTTAGGAGGGAAAAGCAAATGCCTTGATCAAGTGTTAGCCTTGTGCAGTGCCCTAGCGGCCCGAATAGCTAACAATCAATCAGCGATTTCTCCCACTGAAAATACGCTGATCATGGCCGCTCATGGAGAATATTTTGATTAACATTGAAGAGTTGGGGAGCATGTAAGCCAATAAAAAACTGTGATATAATAATAAAAATAATTCTATATACTAGTATATGGTAGTATAATGGATAGGACCTAAAACAAACCGTATGGCGTGAAAGAATTGCAAAGGATTGAGCCCAGTTGAAACCTGTGTTGGCTCCGCCCGTTTTTTGTGGGTGCTGTCCGATTTCATTAGCCTTTGGTGTAGCAATATTGATAATTACTCAAATATGATTGAAACCTTTATATCATTACTCATTAGATGAACAAGTTGATTACAGTTCTGTAAGTGCAAAAATTAAGACTTACGCGAACCTGAAATTCGTCGTATTTCATGTATAAATATGTGAACTCCATACTGCGAGAGACAGATGGTCCTTGGTAGTGTGGTTTCAGAGTCCGGGAGAAATTACCTTTACAACGAGCCCGAGTTTTTGTTTTATTCTTATTTATTGTCGAGTGATTGACTTTTTTTCCTATTTTGTCTTTCCATAATTTTCCATGTATTTTCTTCACTATTTCTTTCCGTATTGTGTCCAAATAACAGTTCTCCTAATTTTCTTGTTTTCTGAAGACTGTGTTGTACAACAGTTATTCCCAAGACGCGGTACAATGTCGTATTTCTTAATGACAGTCCGGGAATAGCTAACGCGTTAACTATTCCGTGCATCCAAACCGCCTTACAATAAATGCCTACAGAGTACCTCGGTCATGTCCAGCCTGCATACGTTACAAGTGTGTTACCGTGGACTGTGCTTCACCCTATATTATTTGTCTCCCAAACATTTCTATAAGTTTACAGGGTATTTACATTTTTTTATGGTTATAAATGCTCTTGGTTACAGTATTTTTTTTTATTAAAAACTTTTAAAATTCACACTCCACTAATTTCATCCTGGGAATATTAATAATATTAATAATAATGATAAAATAAAGATAATAAAACACATCTAAATCTTACCAAAATCAAATTGGGGGGGGGGCCAGGGATTGCTGTGAAAATTGACGAGTCTCTTATTTGTAACAAAGTTTGACAATGGTAGAATTTTAAGCCAAATATGGCTTTTTGGTGGTGTTCAACGTGACAGTAAAGAAGTTCTTTGTGCCTCTAGTCGGTCAAACAAGGGACAGGGTTACGTTGTTTCCCCTGATTTTTAAGTATATTCGGCGAGGTTCAGTGATTTACAGTGATTCTTGGCGTTGGTTTAAATATATAATACACCGTTATTAGGGAGGTTGTCCATGAAGACCAGATAGCAGTAGGTTCTACAACCTCCAGGCAATCGAAGTTCAGAGGTAGCGAGTTCAAACTTCTATAGCCACTATATATTTTATACCTTAATACTGACTCAGGATTATCTCTTCTAGGTCAAAAGGAAATACAAAGATAATTTTGTTTATTTTATCAAAACATAGCTATAAATAAATATTACATAACCCATAAGTTATGGGCGAGGCGTGACTGGGTTGGTTATGGGCCACAACCAACCCAGTCACGCGTACACATAAATTTAGAATTACAGCGGCTGGTATCAAACACCAGGTACCAGCTACTTCAAGCACCAGACATAAGAGTGTGGTATAATAGGAAATGTTCTGTAGAATCACTAGCAGAGGGCAGGGTCGCACAGCCAAGGACTTCTAGTTGCCTGACGAACAGGGAGGTTATCCCAACAGATTGTACCAGTTCGGAAAAGCAAGACGGGGCCAAGCCTTCGGCCAAACAGCAAACCGGAACCTCTCCTGGTAGGTCTTCCAGTCACCACTTCTCACTGGAATTGGGGAATTCTCGGCCTTTAGCATAATGTCGGAGAGCTCTGCTAAATAAGTCCTGCCTCACAACAGAAGTGGAAGGATTCAAGAATCTGGAGCTCAGTGGACACCGGTGAACTGGCTACCACCACCCCAAAAAACAGTGTATAAGGAGGGAGGAGGAAACCGTCCGTCCACCATGAGAAGTGTGGAGTGAGTGCTGGTTGGAGGAGGTGGATGGCACCCCAGACATGAGCTCTCTTACCAGTCTCAACACACCCATACAACTCCCACACACACAAGCTCGTTGCAGGTTCGAATACTCACTATACAGTCCCCATGGAAACTCCCTTGAAATTAAATAACTCGAACTCATTCGACACCCATGACACTGAAAAGATGAGGCGACTCCTTAAATTGAATGAAACGGACAGACGCCCCTAACCAGGCAACATGGCAATTTACCTTACACAGATACTTAATAAAAGATGACAATAACTATCCTGACAACCGTATAGTGTTAGCGGAAGTTTTGGTCCAACTAGCCTTTAGTTACCATAGTCTTTCCTGGTTTACTCAAATTGCCTCTAAATTATTTACACATCACACCAATACCATATACACTGGATTTTGTCTCCACAGCCCATCGAATACTTCCATCTCTCAGGTTTCTGTTATCAGTAACTTAACTTGGTCGACAAGCCATTGTTTGTGAACCGCTCGTTGTTTTCCAGGGTTCACATGTACGTTAGTCAAATGGTATCGTGTATGGTGGGTCCGAATTGGTTGTCAAATAGAATGGGCCGCCGACACTGAAAAAAAAATACATATTACATATATGTGGTATCTCCTATTAGAATAAAAATAGAAATGAGAGTATATACTGTACAGTATATTTTTCTAATATGAAATTTAGGTCAGTTCCACACTGCATACCGACCACTCCTTTACATATCTAATGTTTGATAAAGTGCCGTATATGTATATCTGGTACCTTTAAGTGGGTGAAAGGAATCAATAAAGGAAATATATGAAGTTCTCATAATATCCGAGCAGGGTAGGACTCATAGCAATGGATTTAAGTTGGATAAGCTTAGGTTTAGGAGGGAGATAGGAAGAAACTGGGTCACACAGAGGGTGGTAGATGAATGGAACAAGCTTAGCAGCTTTGTAGTAAGTGCTGGGACCCTGGAAGGTTTTAAAAGGAGGCTAGATAGATTCATGGACGATAGAGAGTGGTAGTAACTCTCGACAGGAGCTGCCATGCACAGGCCAACCGGCCTATTGCAGACTCCTTATGTTCTTAACTCAAGGCCGTTTGTTTACTAGAGTACGTAGTAAAAATTATGAATGTACGTACGTAAAAGTGATCAGTGATTGGTGACTTCGTCCCCTGTTGCTTAATTTAATGGTTGGGCTTTGTATTATATTATACTACGTACTATAGTAAAGAAACGGCCTTGAGTTGCCAGCTGTCTCCAGCAGTGTTCAAAGAATCTTGAACGAGACTACATAAAACTGGAAAACTATTTTGTTTTTCTATTCAACAATAAATTCACGCGACTCAAAACAGTCCCTCAATCAACCTTTGATATAAGACATTTCATGACAGGAACTGCTTACTCTGAAAGATTTATTGGTGGATACATCTAATATTAATTGCGTAAGGATTTTTGTTCGAACCCCACCTGGAGTACGTAGTGAGGTCAAAGTTACTGGTGAGGAGACAGTCGCAAGAGTTGTTGGCGAAGCTGCCCCAGCTGTCGCAGCCACAGGACGGGAACACCTGTTGTTGCCCCCTCCTCACCGCCTCCACTCCCAGCTTCACCGCCCGGAAGTGGCTACAACTCTGCTGTACTGCACGTTGCCACAATAAATGCCATGAAAGAGGCAAAAAACATAAATTAGTGGTAGTACTTTTCCCACATTGTGTAACTCTTCATTAAAACTGAGAAGTCTTGGACATGTTAAAGAGAACTTGGAAGAATAGAGAATGTGCGAGGAGTACCCAGGTATGCCTAAGAAAATTATATATATATATATATATATATATATATATATATATATATATATATATATATATATATATATATATATATATATATATATATATATATATATATATTTGACAATCCCTTATCCGAAATCCTTGGAACCAGATGGATTTCGGTTTTTGGAATTTTTCGGTTTTCATAATGGTTAGGGTTTTTTTTTTTCCCCCAGGGATCAGCCCACCCGGGCACAGATCACTGACCCACATTGGGGCCTTGGGGCTAAAATATAATAATAATAATAATAATAATAATAATAATAATAATAATTTATAGGTCTAGGTCATGTTTCTCACTTGATTTTTTTTCATTCTTTTATTTCTTTATTATTATTGTTGTTATTTTATTATTACAGTATTTTTTTATTATTGTTATCATTCTTATTCTATTTTTGTGTATCTCTTATTAAAATTTTTATTTACTATGAATAATTATTATTACTGTATTATCATTAATATTATAATTATTATTACTGTTACATTTTCACCCCCCAGGCCCCGATGTGGGTCAGTGGCCTGTGCCCGGGTGGGCTGATACCAAAAAAAAAAAATTGCTCCACAAAAACTTTCGGTTTTCAGAGCTTTTCGGTTTTGGAATTTCGGATAAAGGGTTGTCAATATATATATATATATATATATATATATATATATATATATATATATATATATATATATATATATATATATAATTTTTTTTTTTTTTTTTTTTTTTTACACGCATCTTGGCTTTCCTTTCTCCCAGACACTGTACAACGATGAAAGGTTTATAAGTATGATTTGTGTTGAATTACTATAACTATCTGACCTATATCCTGGAAAATTACTTTAAACCTGGTTGTGGGGTGGGATACGATATGAAGCAAAAGGAAAACGTTTCCAGTCGTTTCTACAATTTTCTTGCAGTTGTCCACTCAGCACCTCTTTCTTTCCCTTGAGATGTGTCAAAGAAAATTCAAACCAATAAAGAGAAAGACAAACTTTATGGTTGTCCCTCTTTCGTGTTCAATTTTAAAACTAACTGATATTAAAACCTTAGTCAATATATAGTAACGACGAAAGAATGGTAAAGAATACAAAAAGATTGAGAACGGAAACAAGAAAAGAGTTTTATCCTGCTCATGACTGTCGCCCTGCGTTGTGTAATGGCTGAACTGCATTTATCAACACGGTCAATGAATTCACATCCCTGAAAAACTTAGGTGCACCAAGAGTGGCTTCCTGGCCAAGTCATGACCACCACCACAGTCGTGGCCAACACCGTCACCACAGTCATGACCAACACCGCCACCTCAGTCATGAACAACACCGTCACTACAGTCATGTCAACACCACCACCACCACCACAGTCATGGCCAACACCGTCACCACAGTCATGACAACACCTCCACCACTGTCATGGTCAACACCGTCACCACAGTTATGGCCAACACCGTCACCACAGTCATGGCCAACACTGCCACCACCACAGTCAAAACAACCACCACCACCATCACAGTCATGCTCATGCATATTGTCTATGTAGTGAGTGGTTCACCATCATCAACCAGTAGTAATGGCATCTGGGTAACGTGAGTGCAGCCAACTGCTGACGGAGAAGACCTGGAAGTTTGTAACCCTCCAATACCGCTGAGCCCACTGGTTTAACCACCGTCAAAACAGAAGTCACGGGACCAGGCAAATGGCTGGGCTAGGCTAGGCTAAACTAGGCTATGATAAACAAAGCTTCATATTTTTTTCTCCGCAGATATTGGTGAGCGCTCCGCTATATATTATAACCAAGAGACTGTCATTGCTCCTACCACAACAACTTAATGCAATTTTATCTTTATTTTGAATGCATATATTGTGTTTAAGTGTATGCAATATACACTTACCATCGAAACGAAACGATTAATTAAGATACATATGTTAAGACTGTGTTAATAATCCTGATCGTTGTCACTTTTACCTTTTAAAGTGGTGTCACACTTATAGGTATTTCATTCTGGTTAACGCCAGATGATTTTATTCAGCTGAGAGAAACCACTACCAATCAATGTATTAATGTAAATAACTTTTATTTTAGGATTAATTCACGTAGAAGAGAATAAATAGAAGCACCTGCAAACCAAACATTAAAATTCGAGCAACAGCAGCAGCAGCACAAAGAAGAGAAGGAGGCGGCGACTCCCTAGTTTATATTCCAGAAGCCCTGCAAACGAAAGACGTGAGATATGTTACTAAAACTACACCTTGCACACTACTAATATAATACTTCACACAAGGCCCAGTGGAGTCAGTGTGGAAGCTAAACAAAATTTAAGATTTTTATTGCCGACGTTCTAAAGAATATTTACACACACACACACACACACACACACAACAGTATCCAGGGACACAACTAACCAATGTCTGGGTAGAACCAAACGTCACATCCTGGCTGAACAATGCCACCGTTGGGGTAGAAGTCAACGTGTCCAGGAGGGTTGTAGTAAGCTACAAGGGACGTCCTCAGCACCACCACCAGCTGAGCGTCATTCTGATCCAGCGTCTCCGACGGGTCCACTGGGTGAAGGATCGGGTATGACGGGTCCAGAGCTGTATCATGAGAATACCATGTGGTTTTATATTGCTTATTTTATATTATTTAATATCTTTAAACAAAGCTTTGACCTATGTATATCACCCCCACACACACACGCACACCTTCTTGAACCTACACTGTCTTTTTCTAACCCTGGTGAAATTCAGATTCAGATTTGCCCCCGAGGGGGCTAGTTTATTGGGCACCCCCCTTACATCCTGTGCAAGGTGAAGCGCAGAAGCGTTTACAGCGCCCAACAGGGAAGTATGAAAAGTTCATACTTGCCTTTATGACTCGTACATTAAGGGCGTAAAAGCCAGAAGGGTCATAGGTTCTGTCAAGTTACATAAAGTGAGAGAATGATGAGTGTGTGGGGGGAAAGTTCCCGGTACATTTTATCTGTTTATGGCAAAGAGTGGCAGGTCCCTAATAATGTCAAATGCCAGGCCTGTGACTAGGAGGAAGGATATCTGGTCTGGGAGGGAAGAGGTGTTGGTAACGGCTGGGGACCTATAGGAGGAGGTCATAGGGCAAGTGAGGATGTAGTGAGAGAGGGTGTGAGAGTCGGGTTGGCCACAAAGTTTACAAACTGCGGTGAGGCTCAGGGTTGCCAATGTACTCCCATAGGTACCTGTACCCTAGGCGCAGTCTCATGTATATAAGCTGTTGAGATCGAGTCAGGGATTGATATTCTTTGTAGTGGCGGTTGTCGTCACCGGTTACAGCGTCATAGTGGCATAGTGTGACGCTACCCCGTTGTTTCAGGTGTGTCCAATTTTCGTTGAATGCCTCTCGTTGTGTGGCGTGTATGCGAGATTTGAGATGATTCAGGGAGAGGGCGAGAGTGGCTTCAGTATCTTCTTCTTGTGTAGCTTCTTTGGCAAGCCGATCCACAGTGTCACAGGCAGTTATTCCTATATGTGACGGGATCCAAAGAAACTTGACACGGATGTCATCAGTTTGTTCTAGCCCGGCAACGGCGGCTAGGGTGTGTTGGGCGGCAGGGGAAGAGGGGGAGGGTAATTTGAGCCTCGCTAGCGCAGAAGTGCTGTCACTGATTATAAGGAGGTTCCGGCGTTCAGTGCGAGCATAGGTCGCCCCCTCATGAATGCCTGCGAGGATGGCTATGCTTTCAGCATCAGTGGAGGAGGCCCAGTCGTGGACCCTGATTTTCCTGCAGGCCTGGCGCTCAGGAATCCACACAACTGCCCCAGCGCTGCCCAGCGTGGTAACAGACCCATCACAGTAGACGAGGATAGGAGGGTGGGAGGTCTTTAGAGAGGAAGCGACATCATTAATCTGCTCAAGGCAGTTAAGTTTGAGCATATACCTCAGTTGGGTGGATTTACGACCAGGGAAGGTGTGGACGACAACGTCAACACACGGGGAAGTCCACGGCGGTAGAGGCGGATGAGTGTACTCGGGAGGGAGAGAGGTCGAGGGGTGTAGAGGTGATAACGCAGGATGTCAGCAGCAGTGTGGACGGGCCAGAGTTGAGAGGGAGGGGGGGGAAAGTAATGGGGACAGGCCGGCGCAGGAGGGTGTTAAGATGTGACCCTGGTGAAATGTGGAACCTCGGTTGACTTTGGTAAACCCAGACCATGGTAGTTTTAATGACCCCACCTAATGTTGTTAGATCTACAGCGACCCCTTCTTACCTCGCCGGAGCGGTGTATAATTCAAAGGAGAAACCCGTAAATTCAGGAAAACGACCAATTAGGGTCATCCATTACACTGTAAAAAATATTTAACAGAAACAAAAACAAATCTGCTGTCTTACTTTTACTTTACCTTTATCCTCTTCACCACCCATCGGCACGTTAGCCACTTGGTAGGTCAGTCACGTCTTTGTTACGCACTGTTGGCAAGTACTGGGCATGCACTAGCTCCTGAATGTACGTGAACCTGCTCCAGTGCTTGTCAAGTCTGGTCTTGAAAGAGCTCACATTCGGTGCCGTCACAACACACTCTGGCAGATTGTTCCAAGAGTTCACAACTCTCACTCCGAAAAAGTTACCCCTCACAGTTTTTTGGGCTTGCGGCTTCTTCAACCTTGAGCTGTGACCCCTTGTGGGGCGAGTGTCCGCCAGCTCCCGGTAAGGTCCCCCTTGCCCGTCTATAGTATAAGCTAGGCAATTTCAGACGCTCTAATCTCTCAGGATAGCTGAGGTGCCGAAGTGCAGGCACCAGTCTGGTGGCCCTCCTTTGGACATTTTCAATCAACTGACAGTCCTTAGCATATCTCGGGGACCAAAAGGGGTGACAGTACTTCAGACAGGAAAGCACCTTAAAGATTGTTACGAGATACGGACCGTCTAGATATCTGAACGACCTTCTTCGGAGACCTAATAATTTAGTTGCCTGGTTCACCTTCTTCTCGCAATGGCCCGAGAACTTCAGCTCATTGTCAACATACACTCCGAGGTCCTTTTCACATTCAGTCTCAGTTAATGCAGTTTCTTTGTCCCGTTGGGACATATGATACGCCTTCTTACCGTTGGTACATCCCAGGTGCATTGAATCTTAGCAGCCATTCTTCGACCATTCTTGAAGCTCAGAGAGATCCTTCTGCAGCTCATCACAGTCTGCTTGGTTCTTAATTTCCCGAAATAACTTGGCGTCATCCGCAAACATTTGTATGGAGGAATGTACAGCGTCAGGCATGTCATTTATGAAGCGAACAAACAATGGCGGGCCCAATACACTACCCTGTGGTACCCCACTTGTGACGGGAATACATGGTGATTTCGTGCCATTAATCACCACACACTGCTTGCGGTCATGGAGAAAGTCTCCGATCCATGCTAAGACATTTCCCCAAATCCCGTACCCTTCCAGTTTAATTTTCAGCCTTTCGTGGGGTACACTGTCGAAATTCTTGGCAAAATCTAGGTATATATTGTCGATATTACCACCCTGTTCCAGAATTTGGGTCCAAACATCCAGTACCTTGAATAATTGTGTTAAGCAGGAGCGCCCCGGCATAAAACCGTGTTGGCAATCCTGTTAAGCAGGAGCCCCTCGGCATAAAACCGAGTTAGCAATCCTTTACATGATGTTCCATCATGGCATCTCTTATAATGCTCTCAAATACTTTACATACTATGTTGGTCAGGCTCACGGGTGTATAGTTTTCGCGGAGTGACGATTGCCCTTCTTGAAGATAGGAATCGCATCAGCCATTTTCCAGTCACTGGGGACCTCTTGCTCATCCAGGCATTTACAGAAGAGGATCTTCAGGGGCTCGGCAAGCTCGTTGCACAACTCTCTTACCACTCTGGGATGCACCTTGTCAGAGCCGGGACTCTTATGAACCTTTAGCTTTGACAGTATATTTCTTATAACCTCTTATGTGAACACAATGTGGGTCAGTGCTGTGTCGAACCATCTGTCCTCAAACGCAAGAAGATTAATCGCATCCTCTCTTGTGAACACCGAGGAAAAGAAACTGTTCAATGCCGCAGCTTTGTCCTGGTCAGAATCTGCGTAACTACCATCTTCAAGCCTCAGGTCCGATACTCCTACTCGCGTTTTTAATTAAGACTTTGCATAGCGGTAAAATGCCTTTGGGTTTGACCTGACCTCGCTTACAACCAGCCTCTGGAATTCCTTTTCAGCCCTTTTACACTCTGACTTTACTTGGTTCCTGGCTCTTGCATACATCCTCCTGTCATGCTCATCGTTTTACCTAACCCACACCTTGAATTTCTGGGTTTTCTTCTTAGCTTTGTCGACCGCCACATGGTTTATGTGTAAGGGTCTCCTTGTATTCCTAGAGGCATTGGGTTTGGTTTTGGGTATATATTTCGGGATCAAATGGTTCACTTTACTGGCTATGATATTGACCGTAGTATCTGCGTTCTTATGCCTTAGTGAGTCAGGCCAGTGGATACCCCTCGTCTCCTCCCTCATCCCGTCGTAATTTCCCTTGTAATATTTGCACCTTGACCTGGTTTTGTCGTGAACTAAGTAACAGTTTAATCTGAATGACAACATTACATGGTCGCTGGTGCCAACTGGGGCTAGATGTTCCAGTTTGGCCACCATACCCTCCTCGTTTGTTATGATGAGATCCAGTGGCTTGGGTGTTTGCTCCCCTCTGTAATGCGTCAGGTCTTTTAACATGTTGGAACAGAAAATTATCTCAGAGTTTCTACAAAAAAGAGTGGCAGGGTTATTTAAGTCATTTGGCGTGAACTCATTTCTCCAGTCGGTGTTGCCATAGTTAAAGTCCCCCATGACAAGGAGGTGGCTAGGGTTGAGCATTGTTGCATTGTCTATTAAGGGTCTTAAGTTCCTTTGGTTTAGTAAGCTACAGTTTGGGGATCTGTAGATACACCCGACAATAAGTAAGTCTCCTCCCTTTAATTTAATTTTACACCACTCGGATTCTTCAAAAGCATCCTCTCCCTGTACCCTCATAGGGCTGGCTCCAAGGTCTTGCCTAGCATAGATAACCACACCTCTCTTGCAAGTTTCTTGAGAAAGGTTCGTAAATAAGTCATATCCGTCAATATTGAACTCGCATTCCTCTGGGTCGATTCTCTTGTTCTTGTAAAACATTTCTACAGCACCCACTATATCGGGTTGGTGTACCTTCAGAAGTGTTTCAAACTCCTCTCTCTTATCAAGGAACGTGTCAGACAGTACATCTTGCCGGAATTTGTTTGTAACGTTGTGGGGCACGAGATGTTTGTTCACACTCAGGATGAGATGGAGAGGAACCCCACAATGTGCTCTCACACATGTTGTATTGACAATGGTGCTGGGAAAGGCATGGTTACAAGCGTTGAGTAGAGTATAGAGCTGGTTGGAGGTGCTCAGAGGAGCAGGCCTGTGGGTCGCCATGCTCGCCGAAGGGGCGAGGGCCGCCAGGCAGCGGCAGAGAGGAGGTGGTGTTGCTTGGCTAGAAGGGAAGAGGTAGGTCACCACGAGGTCAGGTCTATAGCGGAGGTAGGCGTGCTTAATAGTTGACCTCCGTCATGTAGCGAACGTTGGTTGACCTAGACCACGAGGCA